TTTCCGACCTGTAATTTGCATTTTGGGCTCATCCTTTTACTAATAAGCACGCATTCTGTCTTCTTGTAGTTTATGCTTAGTCCTTTCTTCTCGCTTTCCTTCACTAACTCCTACAGTATGTCTTGTAGTTCCCTTTCCGTGTTTGCTATCAGTAATGTCATCTGCATATCTTATATCAAAATATTTTTAGATTGTATTAATATTCTCTTTTTAGGTTATAATGATTTTAGTGATAAAAGTCTTACTAATTAGCGCATAACTGGGAGTGAGGAAGTGGATCCATACTTTTCCCAAGTGTATTTCAGCGTAAGTGAATATAACGTAACCAACGCTTATTAACAATTCAGAGCCATTATCCATTACATCACTTATACATCTGATTTTACAGCACCTATTATTCCCAAGCTGTCACCTATCTAGATACTGACATTCCAAAAGCTAAGCAGTGTATTAAGAGACAGAAAAGTTTCGTTGGAAACAAAGAAACGATTACTGAATTGTTGCGTGACATCTGTCCTCCTGTATGGTAGCGAATGCTGGACCATCTCCTCAAAGATGAAGAAGAGACTTGAAGCAACGGAAAGGTGGTTCTACAGAAAGATTCTGAGAATACCATGAGCCGATGAGTCTTTTAACCAGACTTTTTCGTCCTATATAATGAAGTAATTTTGAGAGAATTAGAAATTCTATCAGGATTTATTATTGGCGACCACAATCTTAGCAATATAACATATGCAGACGACACAGTGTCGTTAGCAGACATAGAAAGGAAACTACAGGAACCCCTACAGAATGTAATGAATGAAAACCAGAGAAAGGATTAAACACCAATTGCAAGAAATCAGAATATGTATTTGTCAGCAAAAGGAACAGTCCAACATGAAAATTACAAATTGGAGATACTAAATCAAACAAGAACAACAATTTAATTACCTAGAAAGTGTTTTAATAGACGACGAAAAGTGCAATACGGAAATCCAAAGGCTCATTGGAATAGAGAAAGATGCCTTCCAAATACAAAGTATTATGAAACAGGGAAATTTTGTCAGAAACAAAGAAAAAATTACTGGTCCCTTGCGTAAGATTAGTCCTCCTATATGGCAATGGATGCCGCAAAATGTTCTCACAGTAGAAAAAGTGATTTGAAGCATCAGAAATGTGGTTCTATATAAGGATGCTGAGATTACCGTTGACTGAACATTTAAGCAACAACGAAGTTTTAGAGAAAAATGGAAATAAAAAGGACAATGATAATTAATATCAGAAAGAGACAGTTGAAATCTCAAGGACCAATAAGGTGAGAGAATAGATTGAAGGCAATAGGGACAGAGTTAAACAAAGCATAACACAGCGAGCATGTGTAAATATATGTCAGAACAGGATTCGGAAGAGACATCAAAAAGACAAAATATATTAAGAGGTAGAGGAAATTGGGAAGGGTCATGATCGCCAGTATTCTGATGTGACATGGCAAAAATGTCATCTCCTTTACCTTTTCAGGCGATAATAGTATCATTTCTTTTTTAGCAATCAATAAAAACTCAAGGTAAAAAAAAAATCCAGACACATGTATTTGTCTAAGTAAATTATCTGAACACTTATTACACACATATATATATATAAAATAAAACATACATGAATGTATTGGATTCTCTTTACTTATTCTTTATTTTAACATACGGTCGGATTCTAATCATTGTAAACACATTTTACTTAATATTACTGTCTCCCGTGTCTCCGACATCACATATCAATCAATTCTGTTGTTTCCATGTCTTGCTATTTCTTATTTTTACGAGTATTTTTGTATATATAAATGTTAGGGGGTCTATAATTATTTACTAAGTTATAACTCGTCTATATTACCTCCGGGGACCTATCCGTTAGGAAGGAATTGAAAACTGACAAAAATCTTCTAGCTATTGCATAGCTTGTGGAACAACGCTCTACAGCAAAGGAAATCAAATAAGTACACATGATTTCAAGGAAACAAATTAAATCTGAAAGATTAAGATGGCGGTAAAAGAAAGAGCCGAAGGAATATAGCGAGAAAAAGGGAAATCCGCATTTCATTACTTTTTTAATCATTAATACATTTAATTAATACATTTGATTAGGACGGTAAATGAGACACTGAGATCCGTAGACGTATTGGGATAGACAAGGACGCATTCCAAAAGCTGCGCAGAGTATTGCGAGACAGGATTTCTTTGGTAACGATGAAAAGAATACTGAGCTGTTATGTGACATCTGTTCTTTACTGCAGCGAATGTTGTACGATTTCTTCAAAGATGAAGAAGAGACTCAAGGCGATTGATATGTGTTTCTACAGAAGGATATCATGGGCCGAGCGTGTGAGCAACAATGAAGATGCAAACAAAGAAGAGGCTTATACTTAACATCAGGAAGAGGCAGCTGACATTCCTGGGACATATATTGAGCAAGGAGTATCTGATATTCACGGGTCGAATAGAGAGAAAGGGAGACAAGGGAAAAGAAACGCATAACATACCTAGCAGCCTTCAGCAAGTGGATGACAGACGTCGTCTCGGAGAGGTGGCAGAGAGAAGGAATTTGTTGAGATCTGCAAGGGAGAGAAGGAGGTGGAGAGC